GAATCTGGAGACATATGATATGAGGCACCAGAATCCAAGACCCATACAGAATGTGACATACCTGGAGAACTATGAGGCAACTGACCTCCTGAAGAAGAAACAAACATAGCTTGTGGCTGTAAGGAGAGAAACTTCTGAAATTGCTCAACCAAAGTACTAGAATCGGTGAAAGGACCTGATGAAACTATTGCTGCAGTATTAGACTGTGGTGATTTATAACCCTGAGGTGGTCTAGAAGCATTAGATTGTGACTGGTTGCCAGACTTCCAAGCTTGAGATTACTGTTGCTATTGATTCTACTGTCTTAACTTAGAATATTGAGCCTTCCAATGACCTTTTTGCTTACAGAAACTGCACTCGTCGAAGGCAGGTCTTGTGTAAGGCTTATTCTGATTATGAGAGAATGGTTTAGAAGGTACTGCTAGCACAGAAGGATCAGTAGTAGAAAGAATTCCCTTGTCAGAATAAGACTTAAGACATATCTTTTCAGCCAATAACTCACTGACAACTGAGTCAACAGAAAAAAGTGAAGAACGATGCAAAATTGAACCTCTAAGTCCTTCAAAATCACTACGAAGTACCATCAAAAACTGTACCAGCCGTTGCTGCTCTCTACGAGTAATATAGGCACCACATGCCTTTAATTTAGCAGATTCTATAAGAGCCAATTGATTCCAAAGATCTGTCATAGCAGAATAAAATTCCTGAATACTCATATTCTTTTGTTGAAGAGCTCGTATGTCATGCTCCAATTGATACTGCTTTGCAAAATTTGATTGAGTGAATAACCTTTGCAGATAATCCCAAACCTCCTTTGCTGTCTCATACTTTGCCAACTGCGTATCTATAGAATGCTCAACAGAATTGTTGATCCAAGTAATAATTTTTGCATTATCTGCTTCCCAGACATCTATTAAATCAGCATAACCTGTATCAGTATTCTTAGGTTTCACAGAAGTTCCACTAACATATCCCCATAGCTTTTTACCCTTAAGAAAATTTCTCATCACATAACTCCAATACGAATAATTCTTTCCATTCAACCTCACACTCACAGACTGAAGCGAATCGTCTCTTGCAGTAGCCATAATCAACAAACCAAAGAAAACCAGATTGCAAAAAGGGATCCAATACCAGATTGCAAAAAAGGGAACCAATACCAGATTGCAAAAAAGGGAACCAATACCAGATTGCCAAAAATGAAAAAAAACCTAGTTGGATCCGCGTAAACTGTGTTTGAGATTAAACCTTGTCCCATGAAACTTTGCTTTGATACCATGTTAAAAAATCTAAAGACATACAAGAGATAAGAAAGAGAGAAGACTAGAGTTTTATTAATACTGCATAATTTAATTGAATATAAGGGAATAATTTAACCTAAATACAAAGAGACTATATATAAGCTAAACAAGGTAGGAAAAATAAAAAATTATTCTACCCTTAATAAATAAAATAACCATATATTTCTTAACACTGCCAACTAAATTATGGTTATAATTTACTGAAACACCCTCATACAATAAATTTACTAGGTTTTTTACACATTTCTCTCCATTTCACCCCACTGGCCCCCCTTTCTCATCTCCACAAACAGCGCAACAGGTATGCTTCTCTGTCTCTCTCCCCCCATTTCCCTCTCTCTCTCTCTCTTCCCCCCCTGAATTTCTCTTAATCTTTCTGGCCATGGGACATTTTTTTCTGTTTAATTTCTTTTCACAAACCAAAAACAGTAGCTCTCTCTCTTTCGCTCTCTCTCTCTCAATGTGTGTAATTTATCTGCGATGGAGGTTTTCCGGTGAAGGGTTTTTTGTTACTATTTTAATTAAAAATAAGGTAAACATTTGTACTTTTTGTTCTCTCCATCTCTCCCTCTACCCTCTCTCTCTCTCGCTTTCTCTCTACACCCTATTTCTCTCAACTGAAACCCTATCAAGCCATCACTCTAACAAACACAAACACCCAACAAACCCACCTTCATAGCCATTGAACTTAACCCACCGGAGATACCTCCACTAAGAGCAACTCCAACGTGCTATCAGGGGTGCCATACCCATAACCGCTAAAATGGCACTCCAACTGCAAAAATTATGACTCAAATGGAAGTGGTATAAGAGGTGGCAAAATGACAACTAGGATTTTGGGGTGGCATATTTGGCAACTTTGGAGAGAGAATTGAGAGGTTGCAAAATAGTCGTTGGTGGCTACTGTTCCTCTCAACGGCTATATTCCACCCAAAATTTTTATAAAAGTATAGAGAGAGTAAAGTGGAAGGAGATTTGCCTGATAATTGCCTGAAAATCGTTGATGTTGAGTTATACTTGCCTGAAAATCACTTCCCTGATATTGAAAACCCCTTGCCTTTGATATCAAAAAACCCTTGCTTGATATCTAAAACCCCTCTTCTGCCATCTCAAACGCGCTTCAAGCGAACTTCACCCACCAAAATAGGAGCTTCAAGGTTATGGATGTTTTAATTTTGGATGATTTTGGTTAAGGTTTAGGGGGGAAGGGGAAGGGGGTAGGGCCTGAGAATCAAAGGGAAAGGGGAAGGGGAAAGGGAAGGGAAGGGTCTCTAGATCGTTCCAGACAGTTCTCCCATTTATTTTAGGTCAAATGACACTTTGTACCTCCAAAGTTAATTGTGTTATCATGTTATACCATTACATTTTTTGGTATTATCATATTATGACATGTTATTTAATTGTATTGTCATATTATATCATTAAATTTTTTTGTATTGTCATATTATACCATTAAATTATTTTGGTATTGTCATATTACAACATGTTATTTAATTGTATTGTCATATTACACCATTAAATTTTTTTGTATTGTCATATTATACCATTAAATTTTTTTATATTGTCATATTACACCATTAAATTTAATTGTATTGTCATATTACATCATTAAATTTAATTGTATTGTCATGTTACACCATTAAATTATTTTGTATTGATTATTTTATCTTACCTTTAAATTGATTATAATTTTTTTTTTGTAGATGAATTCACAATTTGACGATTCTTTCACTGATTTGCTTATGAACGACACTGATTTATATGATGCTGCTATGCAGATCAATCTCACAGTATTGACGTCAGTACAAAGTAATCTTTTGAAAGGATGAAAAACCGAGAACTCCAACGACATCTGTTGTTTGGATGAAATATGGATCGTGTTGTTTAATCTCATTTACAATTCGGAGAAAAAGAGGACGACTTATTCGGAACCTCTTTCAAAAAAATCTTCATATACACAAGGGGTAGCAAAATAGTCACAATAGAATCTTTCGTGACCTTCAACTCTACCACGATTAACTATTATGTGGCCTAGAACGGAACTACGATGCCTTCTTATCCGTCCCTAACTAGACCCATCTAACCTTCTACTTGCAGCCTACAACATATTCAAGTCATAATTATCTTCTTCTTCAATATTGAGGATCTCTTGTAAAATATTAGGATAACGATTCATATAACTTGATGAATGAATATATGAAAGTATATATACTCAAAGAGAGAGGAGATATTGAATTTATAAAGACAATGTAAGATAGATGAATAAAAACATGAGAAAAATAATCACATTTATAAACGAATTATATTTTTTTTAATTTTTATTTTGACGATTAAATTTTCAAATTTGAATTTCAAAGGTTGAAATTTGAAATTTGAATTTTGGCAAACAAAATTTAAAATTTGAAATCTGAAATTTGAATTTCGGCGGACAAAATTTAAAATTTGAAATTTAAAATCTGAAATTTGAAAATTTAAATTTTTACTATAATAATATATCTGTTAAATTACGATAGTTATAAAAACTATACCCGATAAAATATAACCGTTAAATTTAATTATATTTTTTAATAAAAAATATTAAAATATTAAAATGACACCCCTTTTTACTCAAATCATAGCAAATCATTTGCAGCTCTGCCACCTATGCTTCAGATCTTCATTCAAACCCAAATGGTGGAGTACCTTCTGATAACAACGAGATCGAGTGTGTCTATCAGAAACCTATTGACCGATGACTCTCTCTCTCCACCTTCGCATCTCTGGTTCTTCGTGTCTGTCTCTAGTTCTTCATCTCCGTCTCACACTCTTCTGTTTTTCAATTTCTACATTGCTAAAACTTTCCAACCCACCATCGCACAACAATTCCGCCAAGAATACACACGTGTTGGATATTGGGCAAAATTATGAGTCATTTGTGATGTGTAGTTTGTTGTTAATTTGTTAGGTTTTGAGGTTTTTCCATTTAGGTAAAGTCACTAAAAATTATACCGAAATTGATTGTTTAATATACTTTTGAGAATCAATTGATTCTCGGGTTTTTGTAATAGCATAATATTTTTAACTACACAATGCCTTCATATTAGGTTGTAAATTTTCTCTTGCGTAATTTTGGCTATTGTATTTATTTTTCAATATCTTTTGTCAATTAATTTTAGTATAATATTTTGGATGGATCAAATATATTTGTAGTCACTTTTTTTTAAATCCATTTAAAATAGAACACCAAAAAAAAAAAAAATTTATAATAACTAGCTAGTGATAAATTTTTAATTCAATATAAAAGTAATAACTAATAATTGTCGAGCCATATGAGATATGTTTGAATAAGAATCAAGTATAAGATGGTAAATTTACTCATAACAGCCTTGCTATATTCGCAAAGTTCGATTCATACACCATTTGATAAGTCTAATTCATTGATCATCTTATTCGTCATGTTGATTAAAAAGAGTGAACACCATCTTTTAAAAATAATAAGAAGAAATTTCATCCATCCATCCAAGAAATCATTGCAAACCAAGCTATCAACAATTACAAAACAATGCACAAAAAAAAAAGAGNTTTCATCCATCCATCCAAGAAATCATTGCAAACCAAGCTATCAACAATTACAAAACAATGCACAAAAACACAAGGATGACTTGAGTCAAAACTAAGTTTCAAAACAAATCAAAGACATTATCGAAGAACGGTAAAATTATGAGGGTAATCAAAGCTCACCAGCGGAGCAGAGTCGATCAATTCTACGGCATTGACGTCAGCAACACAGAGCTGGAAGAGTCTGAAGGGACGGTGTTGGACCAGGTTTTAGTGGGCCATAACCACCAGTTGCGCTTTTCTAGGGAATTGAAGGATCGGTGGGAGATTTCACAGGAAGATTTCGGGAATTTGTGGTGGGGTTTGGGGTTGGTAGAAGAAGAGGTGGGATCCACACAGGTTTGTAGGGTTTGGAGGTGGAGGAAGAGGAAGAGGAAGTGTGGCTATGGCGGGGAACGCAAATGAGAGTTTGTTGAGGAAGATCTGGGTATGCATTTCCATATCTTGAGATGTTCTCTTTTTTTTGTTTGGCTTAGTGAGAGATTCGGATTGTGGGTTTGGGATTCTCCATTGTTGATCTTGATCAAGCCAGGAAGAACCAGATTTGGGAGGGGGGAGAGAGAGAGAGAGAGGGACGACAACGTTGACGAGTTGGGCCTTGGAGCTTCAAGACGGCGTCGTTTGGCAGTGGTGAGTGGTCCCTAGATTGTCGTCGTTTGGGACGCGGCTTGATTGTTTCGTTGCGGGGTTACACTATCCCGCACCTGTAATAATGTAGGGATAGGAGGAACGAGTTAAGCCAAGCCAAGCCAAGCAGTTTGTTGCTCGAAAATTTTGAGAAACTTCAAAATATAATTTAATCTTGGTTATTTTTATTTTATTGCTTAACAGGTTGATTTCTAGTGACAACAAGCTTAAATTATATATAATTCAAACNCTATCCCGCACCTGTAATAATGTAGGGATAGGAGGAACGAGTTAAGCCAAGCCAAGCAGTTTGTTGCTCGAAAATCTTGAGAAACTTCAAAATATAATTTAATCTTGGTTATTTTTATTTTATTGCTTAACAGGTTGATTTCTAGTGACTACAAGCTTAAATTATATATAATTCAAACTAACTTATTTCATTAGTCATTAATTGAGATCTTAGATCATTTTCGAGTTATTTAATTTCGATTTCTTTTCATTAATAGTGATATATCTAGTTTATTTTTAAAGGGAAAGAAAAAAAAAATTGTTGTGTAACTAGTCAGACTTAGTACCCTACTTAGGAGAAGATGACTTCTTAGTCATTCTCACGAATCCACTTTGTTCAATTTGCTTGATTCATGTTAGATTCTTATATATACAATGATTTATTTTATATTTAGATTCTTTTTAATGTGTCAAATCGNCTTAGTACCCTACTTAGGAGAAGATGACTTCTTAGTCATTCTCACGAATCCACTTTGCTCAATTTACTTGATTCATGTTAGATTCTTATATATACAATGATTTATTTTATATTTAGATTCTTTTTAATGTGTCAAATCGGATACAACTTGTACAAATCGCATTAGTCAGGACTTTGATCCATATTGCACACCGTGTCTTGCAATTTGCTGCCCGGGGGGTGGAGTTCATACAGTGGCATTTGTTTGTTATTTGAGTATATTAGTGCATTCCATTACATTATCAAGCTTGCATTTAACACTTCAAAGCATCAAACTGTTCATAAACCATAACATACAGAGCTTAGCAATACATAGAAATATAGACAGTAACCAATATGCATGCAATAACAAATACATCGAACTGGAGAGTTCTCAAAGCAATTCAAGATATACACTCGTGTGACTATAAAAGTACTATAAGGAAGGGAAATGGTAGTTTCTCACTCCTGCCGTGCTCTGTGGCATTCTTCCTTGCGACAGGTATCTTCTCAGCAGTTGTCTTCCACTTTGATTTCTTCCTCTTTGATCTCTTCCTTTTTCTCTTCCTCCTTGATCTCTTCCTTTTTATCTTCCTCCTTGGTCTCTTCCTTTTTCTCTTCCTCTTTGATCTCTTCCTTTTCCTCTTCCACTTTATCTTTCTCCACTCTCCTCCAAATTCCTAGACCCTCGACATTGCAAGGGAATGACTTCAACGAGTTACAGTGACTCACCTCCACGAACCTCAGTGAAGGAATCCCCCTCTGCACCAGTGACCACTCCACCTCCAGTTTTGGCAAAAACTTCAAGCACAACCCTACTATTTTCCAAGTCTTGTCTTCCTTGCCCCAGAAGTCATTGTTTATGTTGCTGAGAACCTTGGAGTCTTCAATACAAAGATATTGAAGTTGAGGGAGTGAAGTGGGGTTCATCCATTGTGGTGTACTTTCTCCAAAGTAATGCCGCAAATACAGCTCTTCAAGACAGGTTGGAAGGCAAAGCATATCAAGCTTTCTTAGGATGTCCTTGTCCTCAGAGTCCCCAGCATTGATTGACAACACCCTTAGGTGATTAAGTTGTGCTAACACTGTCACTTCCTCAACCTTGATTATGCTTTCTTCCTTTATGTCTACCTGCAACACCCGAAGGTTGGGTAGATCCTTAAGCTCACCAAGGTGACAGCCTTTTGTATCTGTTGAACTGGCTATTTTGAATCCATACAGCTCTTGAAGATTGGAAAGTCTAGAAAGTCCCTGGGGCAGGCACTGGAGCAATGGACAATTCCCAACATCCAAAACCGTTAGTTCTGAAAGAGTAGCTATTAATACAGATACCTTTTTTAGGTTCTTGCATTCACCAAGGATCAAAATCTGGAGGGCCCATAACTTTCCAATTGAGTCTGGCAGTTCAACCAATTTTGCTGCATTGCGAAGGTTTAAGTAAGCTAGGCGTTTCTGGGAAGTGATCCAACGCCATAGATCCCCTAAACAAATTTTTTCCAGCTTAATGTGCGAGAAGTCCAAAACCCGGAGAGACCTGACTTTGGCCAACCCACGGCTCCTATTTAGGCGAATCGAACAATTGGGCATACATAATAATGCCCTTAACTTTGAGTTTCCATCTAGGGCATGGAGATCCATTTCACCTGTGACTCTTAACCGGCGAGTATTTACAGTAGGTACCTGCCTATTTCCTTTGTCAAAGCTGCTGAAATCCTCTTCCCTGGCAATTTTAATTGTCAAATCCCGAACCAGATCATGCATTTTGCAATTATAGACTTTTCCATCATAATTCCTTCGTTGAACAACTTCAACCAAGCATCTGCTGATCAATTCGGACAGGTTTTCATACGCTACATCTCTTGCAGTTTCCGTGCCTTCGTCTCGGACAAAACCTTCCCCCACCCACCAGCGAACCAATTGCTCAGCACTAATTTCGTAGTCTTCCGCATATATTGAGAAGCAAAGGATACAATGCTTTAGATCAGTAGGAAGCTCATCATAGCTTAGCTGCAAAGAAGCCATAACCGATGATCTATTGCTTTCTGCTAAAGAACTATTGCTTTTTTCTTCTAGTTTTGCATGAAAATTTAGATAAATCCGCTCCCACTCCTTTAAAATCTGATTTTTTGATTTTAGCAAACCTCCAATTGTCTTGATTGCTAGCGGAAGGCCGCCACACTTTTTCACAATGTTCTTCCCTGTTTCTTCTAACGCGGAATTCACTTTGGCAACTTTACAGAACAATGACCAACCCTCTTCTTCATTTAGAAGCTTGGGCCGATGAATTCTTTCTTCCACAACTCCCATTCCTTTCAAGACATCCTCATTTCTTGATGTAATTATGATGCAACTGCTTTGCTCCTTTGTCTCTGGAAGTCCACTTGAGATCTTTTCCCACCAGGTGCCAGTTTTCCATACATCATCCATGACAATTAGGTAAGCTTTCTTGGTAAGCACTTCGGATATTTTGAGCAGCAAGTTACCGGATCTATCATTTACCTTTAAATCATCCAAGATATTTGTCACGATTTCATTCTCGTCGACATTTTGAGATACAGTCACCCAAATTCTCTCCTTAAATCGAGCAATTACGTCTTTATCCTCGAAGATCTTTTGGGCAATGGTAGTTTTGCCCAAGCCCGCCATCCCCACAATACCAATGCGATGTAATTCCTCCTTGTGATCAAGGAAAATCCACCCTTTGATAGTTTCAACATCTTCTGTTAACCCAACTACATCAGATTGGTTGAAAACCGGTAAATTAAACCGTCTTTTGCTGCTACTCCCTTCACTGGTGCGACTAACTGGTGTAAGATAGGAATTCAAATCCCCTTTCAGTCGCACAATTCGCTTGTTAACGCAGGTCAACTTCCTTCCTGTTTGATAGCGGAATAACAGTTCGCGAGGAGATAGATGGTAGGAAGAGGAGGTACCTTTGCTCTTCCAGTACTTCGCTCGAATTATGCAATCCATCACCAAGTCATCAGCGTCATATACTAATTTTCTCAGATCATCCAATATTGGCTTAAGAGTTTTATATTTCCCTTTGATCTTCTCCGTGTCAGTGAGGAATGCCCGCATGAGAGAAAGTTCACGTTTCATATCCTCAAACTGAGTTTGAAATCCAAAAACATACTGACCATGAACATAGACAGCATCAGTCACATCTCTAACAAGAACCTGAACCACCGCGTCCATTACTACACCTTCTGCCATTTTGCCTAAAAGTCAAAACCAAGAATTACACATCAGCCGATTAGTAATTCGTTGAGTGCTACAGATAACTAGTTTAGAATATAAATTTCGAAATTCTTAAAGCAATATTACCTTGTGCATTATTTTTATTTCTCCTTTTTGTTTATATATTAAGTGTCGAATTTCAACACATTTTGATTTCCTACTACAGGCCAAAACACTAGGCAAATAAGTTGAAACAGTCTAAGTAGGCTATGGTGGTCATATTGATAAACAGCGGATAAAATGCCTAACACTAACGATACCGCTATCAAACACAAGTAACCAAGTGAACCCAAATTCATCGTAAAGAATATAAGAAGATGAAGATGAACTACTTTTTAACGTTGTATTGGTATGAGGTAAAATTTTTAAGCTAGAACGATGTGAAAATTGGAACGAAATAATTCTGGAATGGATGGAAATGTATATTACCATTTCGACACTACAATAAAGTGTACCAAACACAATTGATGATTTATTCAAGTCTTTGGTAAATCAATTTTTTTCCCTGATATGTAATAGAATTTGATTAAATGTGATGATGGTGGCCACGGGCAGAGCCAGAGCCAGAAATTATTTATAGTGAGGGCAACCTAAAACTATTTCAATATTATTCAAAATCAATATGTTTGGTCTAACTCAAACTCCATAATTTTTTTCTTTTTGAACACAAACTCAATTATTTATCATTGAGTTTTTGACAATCAACTTATTAGGACTAGAAATATTCATTTAATAGACCAACTTAACAGAAATAATTTAGAAAAAAATCTATTTGCCACAACTTTATTAAAACTTAGATATAAGAATACTTTGATTATTCACAGACAAATTATTAAAGTCCAATTGGTCAAATAATTTAATTAAAAAAATGCCAATATATAGTATAATTAAATTAAAAAAAATATTTGAAATAATTTGAATCTTAATTTATAATTCTTGCATTCTAATTTCAATTTCTAATATTGTGATTTCTAACTTCA